CGGGTTCAAACCCAGTCCCAGTCAAAAAAAAAAAAAAGAAAAACAACAACAAAAAAAGAAAATACGCTTTTCAGCAACATAAAGAATCTATTATTATGTGATACTTTTTAGTGGAATTACCCCTTGGGCGCAATTATTATGAAGCTAGCACCTGCCCTGAGCTGTGGAAACACTGTGATTGTCAAACCAGCAGAGCAAACTCCTCTCACTGCTCTTCAGGTGGCATCTTTGATAAAAGAGGTAAGTCTCCTAAGTCAAAATATTCACAAAAACTTGAGTTCATTTAGTGCTACTGAAAATTATATTGTTGACAAAAGACTCCTGTCCAGTGTGGGGATGTACGTAGCATGGCTGGAAATGAACCTGAGTGAGTCTCTGCCCAAATGCAGACAGTACATCTGATGCAGGGCTTGACGTCAATCACCTGGAGATCACCTTTTTATTTCTTCTGTCCAACTCTCATGAACATAAATTTATGTTGAAATTGATATGGTATTCTTTCAAATTTGAAATGTTAAGTTGGTTTGAACTGCCACTAATGTCCTGGTAGTTTCTGTAAATTTGTTCAATCTAGTATATGTGATGATTGGAGACTTCTGTGCAAAGATACTTGTTTGTACCATGAGGCCACATTCTGTCCAAATCCATCACCCATAAGTAGATGTGTTCATATTCTTTTCTGCTGTGGGTTCCTCTGCCTTTATCTTTCTGTTCAAAACTGGCAAAAGAGTCCATGAAACGTGTCTCCATCAACTATCTATATTGTGTTAATATTCTTTTACTTACAAACCATTGTCCTCGTTCCTTCATATCTTATCAAAACTTAAAAAACAAATATGTAGTCACCAGAAAATTTAATTTAGGAAATCTGAGCTCATATCTTAAAACTGTTCTTTATTTCACATTAAAAACAGGCAAATGAGATGTCAGGATAAAATGTTTTCATGCAACAAACATGAAATGTGAGGGTGCTCTACTCAGTTCCCACACTTTCTGCCTGAATTCTTTAACCGGCGCTGAAATCGACTGTGAAATGTAACCATAAGCAGCATGACCATGCTTGTTTAACATTTTACTGATTAACTAATGACAATGGGGT